GAGTCAGCATGAGATTTGATCGAGATATAAGGATTTTAATTTTTGCTAGTAACAGGCGAAAAACCGGTTTTTCACAACAATGCCTCTGGCGAAGTTATATTTATTTCTACACAAAAACAAATGTTGCCACTATGCTCAGCGTAGTCGATTACCTATAGTCCATGGCATTTTGAGATTCCCAGAGATGTCTGCTCGAAGATAGACACGTGCTCGGGGAAAGCGAGCCCTGCGCGAACGACGATAGCTAGAGAGCCGGGAGTTGCATAATTTTGTAGAGTAACGTCCAGACTATCTACGCATGCAAAAAAGTTACTAACATTGTATGTTAGTTTTCTGAGAACGGAACTGGTTTTCCAAAGATCCTCTGGAAACCCGATCTCTGGAATTTTTTCAAAAGTTGCTTCCGCTTGTGAAAAGTTCTGCTCAAGTCTTGGCTATTGAACAGCGAAAATCGCAGGCCTCTATCTCATTCCTATCAAAAGTTATTCAAAAAGTGGCACCCGGCGCTATATTTTGGTATGGATAGTAGTTATAAAGTAAGGTCTGAAATAGATGTGACGTTTTTAAACGTCTTGTTTTGTAGGGATACGTCTACCCAGCAAATTTGATTTTCCAATATAATTTGAAAACTTTATCCGTCAAGCATAACTATAAGAAAACGAAAAAACTGAAAAAAACTGGTGCATGCTTACTACCCAGATCAAAGCAACAAGGCCTTAAAATGCAGTTTACGATGAAAAACGATGGTCGTGTACGTTGCTGTTATTTCAACCAGCTTTTGGATTCCGTTCGCTTCTTCGCCTTTCCTTCAGTTCCTTTGCTTTTGATTATTACACTGAAAAAGAGCCGGCACTACCAGTGTTATGTTGCACCAGTACGCACTAGTTTCACATTTTTCCAGTCACCGTTTTGTTATCTAGTATTGATTTTACTGTGTTTTACTCGGACTTTTCTTCGAGAACATAGTGCAATCAAATTTTAATGCGTTTGTCGAGCAGACAATGCTTTTGTCATGTTATAATATCTATTTGGAAAGGAAAACTCAGTACGAATAGAGAGTCAGAGAGTAAATTCAGAGGATGTACACAGAAATTCATCTCTCTGTTTCCTTATTTAATAGGTCTCGTTTTCGCTAGTCACAATGTTACACTATCGCATTTTGGATAAGTTTTGTTTTGAGACACATCTCTTTCGCAGATTAACCAAGTCCGTATACGTCACAAAAAAGAATGAAAGCAACTTTTGATAGAAAAGGGTCTCTTAAAAGGAATATTTCTTAAGATAGCTGAGATGCTAATTTCATCATATTTTACCAGATTTTCTATTCAGGAACATAATGCAATCAGGGTCAATCGTTCACCTCAGACTCACTTTTAAGCTGAGATTAAAACCGGTACACAGTAGTTTCATTAACACGCCCTTTCTTTGTCTAAAGCCTTTCTACTTGTCATAGACTCATATTAATAGTTTTTTCTCATGTCTTTCTCAATTATGATTTGCCATATAACTGGCATTTGATCACAGAATAAAGGTGAAATCGGTTAAATGTTTTATAGTTCGCTTGTAAGTTTTACCGCAAGGTAACGTTTGCCATATGTGAAGAAAAGGTTCACGCTTGGACTTTCAGAGAATGCATATTCGTAGATTTTAACGCTAGGATCAGTAGGGTATTAGAACTAATATTCTGAGAATAAGGCGGATGAGACCTATTTAATAAGGAAATAGAGAGATGAATTTGCTGTGTACATCCTCTGAATTTACTCTCTGACTCAACATGACAAAAGCATTGTCTGCTCGACAAACGCATTAAAATTTGATTGCACTATGTTCTTGAAGAAAAGTCCGAGTAAAACACAGTAAAATCAATACTAGATAACAAAACGGTGACTGGAAAAATGTGAAACTAGTGCGTACTGGTGCAACATAACACTGGTAGTGCCGGCTCTTTTTCAGTGTAATAATCAAAAGCAAAGGAACTGAAGGAAAGGCGAAGAAGCGAACGGAATCCAAAAGCTGGCTGAAAATTAGCAGTATACGACGTTTTACGACGAAAAACGACCGTATATGATGCTTTACGACATGGTATACGACGTCGTATTTTGACGTATTCGATCGTAAATGGTCGTATCTAATCATTCGAAATACGACGTTATAATACTCCTTCCAGGAATATTACTCCATCGTATTCATGGTAAACGGTAGCGTATTTTGACGTATATTGCAGTATACGTCACAGTAAAATGTAGTGTCTGATATCGTAAATTCTAGTTTACGGTCGTTTACGACAGTCGTAAACATCGACCTGGGTAGAAGGGAGAAGTCACATAATAAGACATCGTTCAGTTGTTCTAGTGTCGCAACTAGAAACGAAGCGACTCAGCTGAGCTTGCGGTAAAAAGGTGATTATATCTGAAGCCGCTTCACTGGACAAAGTCAGAAATTACCATTTTTCTTAATGAGTAAGGGGTGATACAGAAGAATTGAGTCACGAAATATTTTGCTTTAATCTCCGTTCCTGGTTTGAATCCAGTTTCGACATTTTTTCTTTAAAGATTCATCGCGAATCTTGCAACAAAGAGGCTTCTACCAGTAAACTATGAACTGGAACAAAGTTGTATGCCATCTACACTGGATTGAAGCCGGGGAGCGGATTAACTAAAATCTTTCGCTTTCCAGTACAGTAGCTAGAGTTTGTTTGACGTCTTCGGTTATTTTGAGAGACCCTCCATTTGCTCCTCAATCCATTCACAACGGCTTCCAACAATAGTATGAGTATATTGTTGCTTTTATTCTTACTGGAAACTGTGACTTTTGTGCAGCTTTTTGTGTCAGTCCATCAAAATACTTAACAGAGTAAACTGGAGTAATGTCTGAGATTCTTGTGAGGTCACTGGCTTCGTTTCCATCTTTTGAGGATACTGGACGGCTTCTCCGGCTAACGGTACCCTATGCATGAGCAAAGTTTGATAATGTTATTCGGCAAAGTGCTCATACCAGTTCATAAAGGACAGACTATTACTTTAGACATGGCATGCTTTGTCGCTATTTAGGTGTATCGCGTGGTTTCATAAAGCAGGAAAGCATTCCGTCTTATGATTACTAGTTTACACACCCAGAACATATTTTACTACTAGTGCTATCTCTCAGGTACATTTTTATCTGCAGTCATCTGTAAATTTGTAACGATAATGCACTCACTCATGTTTGTTTCGCACATCATAAGTACAGGTATAAATGAGTTAAATTTATCCTTTAATAAGTTTTCTTTGCGGTATAAAAAGCTTATCAGTGCAACGAAAGGATGTCACCGCGTTACCATAACTTTGGTCTGTAGATAAAAAATCAGACTCTTGATTAAAATTCAAAAGCCATACGTTATAGGTAAAACGAATCTGTTGGACACTCATCAACATCAGCTACATGCAGAGAAAATCGGAACTCGTCAATTGCCACTGAAAAGAACTTCCATCTTTGGTCGTCGCGTTACCGACTTCTAAGATTCAGACCAGAGTCAGAGCTAAAAATGTGATCTCACTTGTTCTGAGACATCAGGAGCAGTAAACAATGCAAATTCAAAAACATTGTAGAGATATACATGTTGTTCATGGACAGAAAACAAGACCCGCTGAGCACTTTTGTTCAACCAGTCGAGATGGAAACTCTCCAGGCTCTCTTATATGGAATCTTACTAAAGCCCTAAGGTTAGAAACCATAGGGCCTTCCAAGTCTGCAAAGGAGAATAGTTATCACTTGTGAAGGGAGGGAAGATGTCCTCAATGTGCGCATATACGAACAGCTCTCTCATATTCTCCTTCTTGAGAGTGAACAAGCTCAATGCAAGACGTTCGGCCTGAAAACAAACAAAATGTAGAGAATTAATGTTCTATACCGAACGGAATCTGTTGTTAATTAGTAATCAGAAATCTGTTGTTTTCAACAAAAACAGCAATTAATTAAGGTAGTTATACTCATGTGTCTGCCTGTCCGTAATAACTAACTTCAATTGTTTGTCTGCTGTGTCAAGGTTACGTCCTTCCACCCAAGTTGTGTGTCCAGGAGACCTTCTTACCTTGGACAAGTGCGCGCGTATTCTTATAATCTGATTTACTTTAAGTAAAGCAAACATTCCAATATTGAAATTACTACTGATAAACGAAACTGCATTAATCTCATCAATTACGCAATGTGTAAAGGAAATATCCATGACGAAAAAATATTTAAATAATGATGCTCCAGATTTACAAGGACTTGATTATATGGTACGAACATTAACAGAATTGCAAAGAAGTCATGTAGAAATACAAGATGATCCAGTTTTGTCTGACTTACTTGGTTCCATTATCAATTGTTTATGTTCTGACTATTATGTTGAGATGTTTAAACAACTACTGACACCACTAGGATACCAGTCGCAATTAAGTGCCAGCCAAGCATTCCTGTTGCATACCTGTCCTGGCTATATTTTTCGGTATCGCGGCAAACGAATGGAAGAAACTTCGGTTACGATCAGTAGGAAAATGCTATACCATTATGCTGAAATATTTGAGAAATTTATACCATTCCTAGCTTCCAAAAAATGGAATGAACAAATTATAAAATGTATAATACAAATTGTTCTCATTCTTCAATACATAACTCCGACGGCTTATCCTGACATCTTAAAACGTTTTGCAGCCGACCATACAAAGCTTATTGATCATATTCTTACGATTCTAAGTACACCAACTTTATGTGGAGATCATGTAGTTACTACTAATGGAGAAGATACTACGATGAACCTGCTAATAGCACATTCAATAGCCTATTTATATTTTTTGACATTTGAAGTGAACTTACTATCAACGCTTAAGAATAAAACTAATGTTATTCAAACATTTTTAAAATTAACAGATACAAAAACTGATGAAGTACAGTTCAATGCCTATCGAATGTTAGCCGTCTTAATGAATGAAGACGATATCAAAAATTTAGCCAATCCAAATAAGATTACATCCGTATTCATAAAATCTTTAAAACAAGTAATCGATCCACAGCCAGGACAACGAAGACGATTACAAAATTCATTAGTATGCTTAAAAAGTATGTATAACAACAACTAACGTCCTCCATCGTGCTCTGACTCACGCTTCTCCCTTGACTGTGTTAAGAATTCCCGTTCTGACGGACTTAATCCCTATAACTATAAATTTCGCTTGCTGCAAGCAAACAACAGGAAATAGATTCAAATATTCCTATAGCCCCTATGTCGACTAATTTCTATTTTTCTTTCAGATATTCGAACTTCTTTAAATGATTTCTACCCTAAAACGTTGGTCGAATCTCTTAAAAAAAGCCTATACACGTCTTAGATCTTTATTTTCTTGTGTTGTGCGGACAAACAGGTTTCATTGTACTACCCTAGACTTACTATCAAGAGAATATGAATTAAAAGGAGAAACAGTATATCTGATACCGACAGCCTTTTTCTAGCAAACTAGATTGTTCAATAAATGCGATGACTTTTTCGTTTAGGTCTGGTGCAACATGAGCAAGTCAAAGCTGAACTCGCTAAACAAAGTGATGGTTTGCCTCTTTTGATTCGATGTGCTACGGATACAAAGTTTGATGTAGCGAATGTTCGAGTACCAGCATTAGAAATTCTTTGGGCAATGACATTCAATGAAGAAGCAGCTGTTATTCTGAAAAATGACCACGAGTTCATGAAATATGTGAAAACATTGTTATCATCAAAAGAAAATGTTGGTTTACAAACAGCAGCTGACGGCATCTTGTGGAAACTTGAAAAAGAAGCTCAGTTTGTAGTCCAACAGCACGAACCTGTTACACTTCAAGTTCCTTCTACCACATCTGCAGAAGTTACAACGAAGATAAAAGCAGCTTCAGTTGATCAACCACCTGTCAAATTCGACGTAATGATTAGTTATTCGCACAGTGATAAAGATCTGTGTTATGAGATACGCGAACGACTCGTTAAAGACAATTTTCAAGTTTGGCTCGATCGAGATAATCTATACGGTTCGACGATGCAAGCCATGGCTGATGCAATTGAGCATTCAGAAGTTGTTTTAATTTGCATGTCCGATGCCTATAAACAGAGCGTCTATTGCCAATCAGAAGCACATTATGCATTTGAACGGCGGCGACGTCTCATTCCACTGGTCATGAAACAAAAATATCGACCGGATGGTTGGCTTGGCTTTGTTGTTAGTGGAAAAATATATGTTGATTTTCCAAAAATGGGAATTGATCTGGCTTACGAAAAACTAAAGGCTGAAATTATGCGACGTCAACATCATAGTAGCACTTCTTCGAATAATACAACGGCCAACCAGAAACCACCTTTTGATCGTGAACAAATACTTGAACTTCAGCATCATCCAACGGCCCACCACATTGCTGCCCAGGCTCCTGTAACCAGGTAATTATGAACCATTTACCTAATAGACTCTTAACATCTCTCTTGAATTTTCTAGTTCATTCTCCCAACAGTATTCCTATCCAACTTGTGTTACCCTCTTCACGAAACAAAATGTTCAGGATTTTCTATCAGATAAAAAGCTTAATGTGATGTTTCCCATATGTGGCCAAATGGATGGAAATAGCCTGTTCAAAACTTATCAAATGTGTGAGAAGAATTTCGCTCAAATGTACCAGTCATTAAAAACTGAACTGTTTGATCTACACAATAAAATCTTACCACTTGATGTTTATATGCATTTTGTAAAAGAACTTTCAATGGTTCTTCCAAATGCGGCTGAAACTTCTACAAGGTAATTTTGAAAATGTTGCTATCGACTTTTAAGCTCTCTCTTGTCTTTCTGGTAATAGAAATCTACAACTACAACAATCCTCCTACCCAACTTGTGTAACTCTATTTACAGAAGACAATGTTCAACATTTTCTTGTGGATAAAAAGCTTGATGCAATGCTCCCATTGTGTGAACAAATGGATGGAGATAGCTTACTTAAAACTTATCAAATGTGTGAGAGAAATTTCGATTTAATGTACCAGTCATTAAAATCTGAACTGTTTGATCTACACAATAAAATTCTTCCACTTAATGTTTATCTGCGTTTCGTGAAAGAAGTAAAAAAATATGTACCGAATTAGAAACCAATTGTTTGTATAGTAATGTGAAAAATTTGTGAACTTTTTGCATCTATTAATAAACTATGCCTTTATATTTAAATAAAGAATTTTTTTTCTGTATGATCTTTTCATGTGTATGTGAGCGCCCATGCTAAATATCTCTGACGATTCTTGCTAAGATCTCGGCCAATGCACTTTTTGGGTATGAATAAACGAGATCTTGGCGGGAATGAATGAAATTTTCAAGTGAATGCCACTTTACATCAGATAAAATTCAAATAAGACGTCTCTGTCAACTTGAAGATCCTAAGTTGGATATTATCATCACACAAATAATATTAAAAGATAGTTCCATTGTTTTAATAGTTATTTATAATAGACCAAATTCATCAGAAACAAAAAGATTTTTTAACAATAAATGGAATGAATTTAAACGTTATTTATCAAAAATTATTTTATGTGGAGATTTTAATGGACGTTATGCAGCATGGGGTGATAAAATCAACAATAGAGTAGATGAAGAACTATTAGACTTTATTAATTATAAGTTAACTTACTGATTTAAGTATTTTGAATCCTTATGGACAATATACGTTTAGTAATTCTAGACAACAAACAAGTATTATTAATTTAGCATTATTATCAGCATAAGATAAAACACATTTCCGCTTAGTACAAATATTAAACAGTGTAAAAAATCTAGATCATAGACTTGTTTTACTAACACTAGATAATTTGACAGTTACACAACAAAATTTTATTACATTCATTCTTCGTTGGAATATTAATAAAGCAAATTGGGAGAGTTTCACAGTATATATTAAACAAGAAATTATGCAGAAAAATCTCATTAATTATCACCCAAAATTTAAAAATGAAACTGAAATATTAGCCACACAAGTCGATGAAATTATATTAACAGCTGCCGATAAACTTGTTCCAAAAAAGAAATTAAATGAATATACACACCCATGGTGATCATAAGAAATTTATGAACAACGAAAACACGTCAGAAAATTAAAACGTTTTAGGAAAAAGATGAAATTCCCAATGAACTACTATAACTATACAAGAAAACATAAGAATTTAAAGATATGATTCGACTTGCTAAAGAAGAATATTGACAGAAGATGAAGGGAAGTAAAAAATTTTAGTAAAATTCAACAACTATTTGTACAAAAACTGAGAAAAAATATCCCATTTTTGTGGATTTAAAATGATGAAAAAATCCCAGATGAGAACGAAATGGCCACAAAATTGTTAGATGAATTTGGTCCCGAAGAAAATGATAATAACAGCGATTTAAGTGGGAGCGTGGACGATGAAAATCCCAATCGATTAATTGATAATAATAATCACACCAAGGATGCAATTCAGTTAGATGAAACTAAGACTATTATCTCAAATAGTCCAATATATAAAGCATTTGGCTATAACAGCTATAAACTCTACAAACATTATTCATACAAAAAACAGCGAAAATGTTTTATGACGACGTACAAAATATATTCATTTCAATATAGAAATTAAGATGGCGGTAATTCAAAATTACAGCAAGTATTTTTTTCGTTCGATAGAGCTCATCGAGGTGCATCGGAAAAACACAATTACACATTTTAAGAAGTCATTGTTTGGTGAAAAGATTTAAAAATACCTATTTTTTGAAAATAAGCAGAAGACCGTGAAATTGTCAAAAATAATGAAATTTTTCATACTTATTATTTTTCTACATTCCAAACCTATGTTTTTCTGATTGTCCATCGAAAACTGAGTATAAAAAAATGAATTCAAAAATTTTAAAATTGAAACTTACCTTCAAAACCACGAAACAGGAGCAGAATTGTAAAAACCCTAGTACCCAATTTGCAAACGTATCTAGTTTTTTCCATTGAAAGACCAAGCATTAATTGTTATTGCTTCTAATTAGTATACTTGTAGAAAAACAAGTACTCAATGCTTTTTTAGAAATATTTAGTCGTTTTCGAGAAAAGTCAATTTTTTTTATTTTATTTTAACTAAAAGTAAACATCACCACTCGACTCAGCGTGGCCGATTACCCCTATTCTGACCCTTTTTAGAATCACTCAAAGTCCACTGGCCAAAATCGGAGCTCTCAGGAAAATGCGTATAGCTCGTGAATCGTCAGAGACAGAAAGTTAAGACTGATCTAGAATTGTAGATCTCGGGTCGGGCTATCGATTGAACTGTCTGAAAATCAGAGTCCATCGTACGATCTCGTAGACTGCATCGAAAGGCTTATCATGGTAAACCTTACCTGGAAGCGTAGTTTTTGCATACGCTTATGCTCCCCTATATTCTCTATCCAACGGTGAAAACTGCATGTCTCTATCACTTTTCGTTCAAATGCGATAAGCATTCTGCTGAGCGGCCTCGTTTTCAGAAAAGGATAATAATCACAAGACTGAAATATTTGCAAAAAAGAATACTGGCCTGTCAACAGACACTGTGTTAAAACTGCATAAAACTAATATTGTATCTAAACTAGATTTGGGATCAACAATATGGTCTTGTAGATGGTCTAAATTATTAAATGGATCTTTGATTAAACTACAAAAAAGAATTTCACCATTAGCTACTGGAACAGATAGTACATGCTCATTAAGCGCAATGGAAGTAGAAACAGGATTATTACCAACTAATTTACGCACTGAGAGCCCAAAAAAACATGATCGTTTTTGTACAGAACATGTTCTGTATGATATCAAGGAACGAGAAAGAAAGAAATGAATCATACTGTAACAATATTAAACAAAAACGACCATGCTTTTTTGGGCCTTCAGTGCGCCTTATATATAAAAGATTAAAGAAAGCCATTTCAATTAAAATACGGCAACCAACACATATTTTACAAAAAATACTTACAGAAATTGATAGAAACATCAACAATAGGATAAGACTAACGACGACATCCGCATTGTCAGATATACTTAGTAAATTAGCTACATGTCTAATCCAAAATAATAATATTAACAATGATAGAACAAAGTGAGTCATCTATCATCAGTTTAATTAATACAATAAAAGCAAACGTTAATATAGTAGATCGCGATACAGCATTTGAAAATGAAAGACAAATTCTAACACAACAATTAACTAATACAAATGATCTTCTTATTCTATGTACCGATGGTTTAAAAGTTTATTATAAATTAGCTTCTGCGGTTACAACATCACTTATTGATAATGTTATTCAGTATGTAAAATGAAGAGTTACTAGTGACATTTTTTGTAATTCCGCAGTTCGACAGAAATCGTTTTCGACAGCGTGTTTCGACACTGTCGAATTTCGAGCGAAAAATTTTCGACAGACTAAAAATTCGACAGTGTCAAAATTTTTTGACTCGAAATTCGATACTGTCGAAAGCCTGTCCAATTCCATTGAAAACTTTCAAAGAGACATAAAAGGGTAAAGACGTGAAAGCTTAATGACATAAAAGCATAGGGCGGATGAGCATGAGAGTGAGTCACCAGACCACGTTCAATGAGACTATTGATGGTTTTTTTCCTAGAGACATAGAGAAATGGTGACGTAGGGATTGTCTACGCCTCTACGTGTTTACGCTTTTGCTTCTCCACTAGAAAAGTGGAGCGAAAAATCTATCGAATTTCTAGTCTGTTTGAAAATTTTCGCTCGAAATTCGACAGTGTCGTAAATTTACCCCCCTCCCCCCCAAATGTTTATTTATTTAATATTTATTTTTTTGTACCCCCCCAAAAATTTAAAAGAACACTAACAAGGTACTGAGTAACTATGCAAAAAACAGAGTTTACACCACCTCGAACGTGAAATTTAAAATAAAGTTTACACTATCTCGGACAAAAAACTTTCGTTACACCCCCCCAATGTCCGGCACCTACGCAGGTCCGTGCTCACATAGCTATCTGTTCTTTGATACAACAACCAAAACCACCAACAAATATTCATATTTTCTCCGATTGTAAATCATCTCTGCGAACTTACAGCAGTAATCGACATAAATCATACAAAAAACAAAGCGGATGAAAAAATATTTCAAGGATAGACAAGGATGTCACTTAACATCACACGGGACTCCAGGACATTGTAACTCAGTAGGAAATGAATTAGCTGATTTTATTGCTGGAGGTACTGTATCATCTAAAACATCCCATGGAAATCCAGAACGATTATTATTTATTGAGAAACCACTATATCAATATCCAAATATGACTTCAGAATTATTTAAGTGCATCCAGGAAGAATGAATGGAAAAACAATAGATGGGGGAAAATTTATTTTAATCTTGTACCAAATGTATTCATGAGAAAGAAATTGTATATTGATTTAATAAATGATGAATAATAAAGATTATTGATACAGTTTAGATTAAATTCATATAATACAAATGTTAGGAAATATTTATGTAATAAAACAAATAATCCATTCTGTGATACATGCAACGTATTAGAAACGAGAAGTTATTTAATATTTAACTGTCCAAAATTTAAGGAAGAAAGATTAACTCTATTACAAAACTTGATATCAAACAAAATTTAATATACTTCTCTAAATGAAATACTAACAACTAGACAAAAAACATTACATTTAACACAATTTTTAATTTAAATCAACAATAGATACAAACTATAAAAGGTGACAGTAAAACTAAAATACATGTGACTCTATAGCCACAATGCTAAATGCGCAGCGATCTATAAAAATAGAAACAGTCCAAAAAATATTTATATTCTTAGTAAATAAATGTGAAATAAAGTAAAAAATCCCTGGTTACCATTATCATTTATCTCAGAACAGATAAAAGTCCCACACCATTTCTCCATATTACAACATTAATATACTGTAGCAGTGCTTTACTTATTAAAAGAGGAAAGACTTGCAAAGAAATTTCATCATAGAAATAAATTATAGTAACGTATGTTTACAAAAAAACATGATTAGAATTGAGCACAGAAAAATTGGCATATCCAATCACACATCTACAGACTGCTTGAATGAAAATATCAAAAAGGGATTACACTATTTGATACTGATTCACTAATTTCGTCTTCATCATGATCGATGATTTCATCATGATCGATGATAGTAATATTTGACAGAGCAGCTTCTGTATTATTAGTGCAATATTGATCAGATTCTATAGCTATCGGGTCTGGTTGTGCATCTATTTTCTCTCTTTGATGTTTGATAAGAGATAAATTATATGATGCTAGCGACTTGTACAAATTTTCAACATCTTCATAATTAAATTGGGCCAATTGATCTCGTTGTCGTCGTTTATTTTCATCACCAACTGATTTACAGTAATCAATACCAAAATACATTAATTGATAATCCAATTCAGTTGAGCAAAATAATTTTTCAATATGTTTTTGATAGCGTCTTGACCAATCCAACATAAAACTACAACTTTGTTCTTCAATAAAAAATACGAAAATTTTTTTGATTTGTTCATATCCTGCTAATTCAATAAATAATTGTAAAACATTTTCACATGAAATAAATATAAATAAGGCCTTGTTAGCATTATTCTTAATGTACTGTAGACAAGTATTCATATTTGTAAAATATCGTATAAAATTTAATGTTTTTGAGTTTTGAAGTTTTAATGTACGACAATTGTTCAAACATTCATCAAGTAACAGAGTTTCACTCAGTTCGAAACCACCATATATCTCATTTAATGGCATGTTTGATTCGAAAATCTAAAACTTAAAACTATACAATTGCAGAGCTGGAACTGGACAGAATCGGACCAGTTGTAAAAGTCAACGGGACCGGTAGATTGGTATTTCACCGGTTAAAACTTTTGCAACATCAGCTCTTTTTACTCTGTTTTTCATCAAATAACTAAAATTTCACATCTTTTCCGATCAGCATAAATAAGATACTCAAGACAGATATTGTTTTCATCACTTGTCTTAAGATTAAATGTTATAGACTCGTTATTGTGAAGATTCTCTCAGAAGTGCTTGCAAACTATTTTCATTTCTGCAGGAAATTCTTTCTGAAAATCGATTTTCAACAACCTTCGTCAGTTTTTCACCGGTATTTTACCAGTTTGAATTATAATTTCAATCGGTCAGCTTACCGGCCGGATCGATCCGGTTACACTTTCAGACCGATTTACCGTTTCTCAACCGGTTTCAGCTCCGCACGATCGATTACGCGATATACAGTTTCAGCGACAAAATAAATAATTCTCTATTTCTCGTGAGTACCATCCGTCCTGAAAAAAATGTTTTCAGTCGATTTTTTAAATTTATTATAGGGTGAATCCATGGGTATCCAACCACTTTTTTGGAAAAAGTTTTTTTATCGGCTTTTTTCGTTCTAGTTAGCTGGGACGTGGTCCGAAAACAGCTTTGGCCGAAAAGAATTACTGACTTTCACCTTAAATGAGGGAGAGCTGAAGCTGTTTCTAGGAACATCTAATGAGGGTCATCCAAGTTATTTCAAGATTTTGGACTCATATTTTGCCCATTGGTAGAGGACCATTAGACTAGCACAATCTCCAAAGGATTCTTCTCTTGATTGAGATTTGACTGGGATATGAGTGTTTCAAAACATAGATTTTTCATTCTTTTATAATTTTTCTAGAAATGAAATACATAGTTTTGAAACATTCATATCTCAGTCAAATCTCAATCAAAAGAAGAATCCTTTGGAGATTATGCTAGTCTAGTGGTCCTCTACCAATGGGCAAAATATGAGTCCAAAATCTTGAAATAACTTGGATGACCCTCATTAGATGTTCCTAGAAACAGCTTCAGATCTCCCTCATTTAAGGTGAAAGTCAGCAATTTTTTTCGGCCAAAGCTGTTTTCTGACCACGTCCCAGCTAACTAGAACGAAAAAAGCCGATAAAAAAACTTTTTCCAAAAAGTGGTTCGATACCCATGGATTAACCCTATATATATATAGAAATATATTTTTCGAAAAGCAATGATACATTCTGCTAGTTCTCAAAATTCTCTATTAGTCTCTACTTTCTTAACCTGGTTCAACCTCTCACTATTTTTTTTTCTATTTTTCTCGTGTTTCTTTGATGAAGTGAGGAATTCTTATTCGTAACGAATCTAAAAAAAACCAAAACAGAAATTTCAGAAAAGCTTTCTAGGTTCTTGTCATGTTGAAAAAGAATCTAAACTTTTAGGTTCGTACGAACATTTAGATACAAGAACCTTTTCTCCTAGTTAATTCTGTGCGTAGCTTCTTAGGTGCTTGAGTTCCTGTGGCGTTGAAGACGAAGCTAAATTTATGTATTATGGGCTTTGGACATTTGCCAGATGAAGCCCCTCACACTCACCGCCAGCACCCTCCCTTCCCCTCCTCGACTGCTGTCGATATTTCTTCGTACGAACCTAAACGTTTAGAATCTTTTTCTGCATGCAAGAACTCAAGAACCGAAGAACCCAGATATAAAATATACTAGGAGAAAAGGTTCTTGTATCTAAATGTTTATATGAACTTAAAAAGTTTAGATTCGTTGTCAACATGCAAAAACGCAGGAAGCTAAGAATCTAGATAAAATATGTTTTCTCTCGAAAGATTTAGGTTCATCAATGGGTGTTGAAGGTGATGAGAATTTTGGAGTCGTTACGAAGAAGAATTCCTCATCCTATGGATTGTTTAGGACCCATCGGTTAATTTTTTTCTAAGAAAATGCGCTGCGAAATACTCTGCAAAATCATACATAAACTTTAGTTTCAGAACGTCACTCAAGAAAACTACACAGATTATACGAAAGAAGACAAAAAAATGAAAACTTTGAAAATCTGGTATTTTTTTTCCGCTTGAATCTTTTTCTTCTGCTATTATTTTCGTAAAAAAGTGTTGCAAGAGGGAGAACTCAGTTCTTTTTTTGTACTTTTGAATGTGTTCTTTCTCGCGGTCTGGAATAAAAGAAGAGTTAGTTGAATGAGCATGAAATGCAATCTATGGGAATGTGATACTCAGCAAATAGTTACAAGTTAACACCGGCAAAGTACAAGATGATAGAGAATCTCAAGTGCTATGAGAATACATATTAATTTTGTAAAAAATTATTTCTGTATTCGTAATAAATTCAAAAAAATAACTGAAAAAGGAATAAAAAATGCAATTCGTGAGAATCTGACAATGAGGGTACTTTCATTATACCCAAAATATTTTCCAGTAAATAAGTGCAAATCAAAACATAAATATACAGGATATTAGAGAATTTTGAGCACTCTCAGAATATATAATTACTTTCGAAAAATCTATTTCTATATATATAATAATTCAAAAAAAAATTCGACTGACATATTTATGTCCAGACAGATATATCATGTTTACCCTAGTTAATGAACAATTTTTCGCTAATAGCGGTCAATCAATCACAAATAATAGCATTAAAATAGAATAAAAAAATAATTATTTATAACAAGTGTACTAACCTTTTATTCAATATTACTCCGTAATAATCATTAGATCTTCTTTACCGATTGACCATAGCCCATGTAAATAAATCTAAAAATGAACGTAATAAAAAACACGATGAAGTCATTTAATAAAACGTTTGGGTATTTAATGATTAAACTTTGTTTGTAAGCATTAGTATAATATATGAACCCTGTACACTGTCAGACTGTAAGAGAATGTTTCTTGAAAAAACAAAAAACTCTACATGATGCACGATTTACTCGAAAAAGAATAATGAGTTAGATTATTTTAAAACAATGTGATGTGAATTTGGTAAATTTTTCGCAAGAATATTATATAAACGTTCCACTTGTTGATATTGTTCTAAAGCCAATTGATGTTTTCCTAATTGTTCATATTCATGTCCTTTTCGTCCATAATAATAAGTAATATCATGTATTAATTTAAAAATTAGATCATGATAATCAGTAAATATTTCATGAATATTTTTCTTTTCTTTTGACCATGATTTGCTACGATTTTTATCGGTACAATAAATATAAATATTTGTTAAATTCTCACATGTTTTAAACGAATTAAGAGTATTTTCTTCATCTGTATAATCCGATATAACAAGGAAAATATTTTGTTTATTTTGTTTTTGTATGTATGATAAACATTCATGTTTTTTATAAAATAATTTAATATTTGTATTAAATTGTTCTAATGTCTCACGTACTACTTTAGATTCATCTTGACGATCAATATTGAGCCATATTATCTGTATCGAATACAAACCTATTGACTCTGTTTGTAATTCTAAAAAAAAAGAGAAAGTGCTTTCATAAATAATAAATATTAATTTACACTTCATTGTAGTGTTCTGCACGGATGCAACTTTTCATACCAGTGCCCAAACTCCGTTCAATACGCGATAGTCTGTACCCGCCGCTCAGTCAGACTAAGATTCGAATCCAAGACCTTAACATTCCGTATCTATGCGCTAACCACTGAGCAATCTGGTCGATCATCGCGCAAAAATATTAATTTTAAAACTAGTTATTTTCTTTGACATAACAGCAACACCTAACAAGAACAATCGGCCTCTATTACAACAACTAGTCTGATATGTTAACTAGCACTTACCAAGAGATAGCGTTAAGTGTAGGGTAAAGTCGGATGCTGAAGTCGAATCTAAACCGATAAGAAATTTTGTACCCAAATCCATCTTTCTATTTTGTATGGGTGTTGGGCACGGGCGGGCACCTCTAATTGACTGATACTGATAGAAAGAAAATCTAACACTTTTTAGTTCTAGTGTTGAGCTAGAGAATAAAAAAAGCAGCAGTTTAAAATACCTAATCGTTTATAACTATCGACTAATCGTCCATATAATTGCTGTGCTTTTTCATATTTTTCTTTAGCTAAATCATGTTTATTTTGTTGTTCAAATTGTTGAGCTTGTTGTCGATAATAATAAACAATTTCATCTGCTAATTGAAACAGGAAATCACGAACGCCGTCAAATACACCTCGAATTTTGGAATTATTCACAACATGTGACTTTTCTTCATTGCTGCTGTTCAATATATAAACATATTTAATATTTTTAGCATTTTCATGTAATAAATGATCTACATTTCTATTATCAGCAATAAAAAGAATAATTTGTTTGTCGTTGTTTGACAATAAATATTGCAAATATTGGTCGATATCATCAAAGACAAATAATAAATCATTCGAGTTTTCGTAAACAAAATTATTGAAGAATTCTGATTGTATGTCAGATCGAATCACAACAAATTTTGTATCTTGATCATGTGCGGATAAACCTAAATAAATTTAAAAATTAAAACATAATATTATTCAGATAAGAATCATGTGAAGAACATTCACCTGTTGTTACTGGATGTGGTTCGATTGAAATATCAGACCTATCCTATTTGAAAAAAATAAAAAACATCAATTAATGAGACCCGTCAAAAAACCTCTATCTCTAAATGTACTCATTGTCATGTGAAGGTACGCAGAATGATTCTTACTAACTGATAGTCTGTTTGCATGACTTCTGGTTACATAGAACAATATTATCTGGTTTAGTAAGATATATTCCTGTTCGAGCAACGGGTACCTTCTCGCTTTCGACAAGATTTTTGTATATTTTTTTTTTTGTAACGCATTAGTTGATGAAGTAAAGACGACAAATAAAGGCTTATTGCAGGTTAAAGAACATTAAAAATTGCATCGAATTCCTTGATATGTAGGGTCCTTTCTTGTACAATCGAAAACTCGACAAACTATGTTAGCCTTTGCCTAGTTGAACAAACTCATGAAAGTATTTCCCAATCGGACAATATTTCTATCATCCCCAGACGAGTAACATGTCTGATTCGGGAAAGATAACATACACATTACTGAGCTGGATTTGGCATTCGTTTTCCACATAAAAGGAACGAAGGGTGAATACATAATTTAACATACAATGACTATACAGTGCGCCCGGAAAAGTCCAGAGTTTTCCTGTCGGTTAGAGGACCTCGACCAGTCCACGTAATGGTCAACTTTTATGTCAAAGTTGAAGTGAGAATGCGGTTAAAAGTAACACTACTATGTTGTAGAGGATAGTCAATAATGTATAAAAGTGCATTCTTTTATCTTCGTTTTGCGTTCCTTTCTTAGAGAAAAAGACTTCTAAACAGATGGCGCCTTGAACTGTAAAAGAACAGCGTACTGATGAGTTTTTTTATTTTTACTCAAGGCGAAAGTTAGTTTTTTCGTTGTTCGATTTGTGACGCGGGACGAAAATAGAACCGATAAACTTATTTTTCATGTAAAAGAAATTAATCTGTGCGCTCAGATGACTGAGTCATCTGAGTTTGTAAACGTAGTATTTTGAACATGTGATTCTGCCACGAAATTTCTCTGTCGTTTTGTTTTTATCACAGTTGTGATCTCTGAGGACGATCACGTCACCTTTCTAGTAAAACGTTTTTCACGCTCTATCTAATGCACAAATTTGTTCTGACTCAAATATTTTTTGTTAGAGTAAAACAGCGTAGTGGAATCACACATCATCGACCAAGTTTGTTTTTACGAAAAAACGAACTTCTTTCTTCTGTCTTTTTGCGTCTTTTTAAGTTGATTAAATACAGCTGAAATTGTTTCTCTTAATTGCACACAACAAATCTCGCCTTGTCCTACTCATTCTCGAGTCCTGCTATGATTTATAATCCAGATAACTATTCTAGATATCTTTCACGAGTATTCATGCCTTTGAGTGTCTCCGAAAAAGATGTCGGAAGCGTTTGAAACAAAAAATTAGACAAACATAGGCGATTACCAAAATTCCATCAAAAACTCTGGAGGATTCGAAAAAACCTTCAAATTCCGCAGTTTTCTAGAACTTTGTTGAGGACGCCAAAAGATAGCCCGTTCAATTCTGAGCTGAATGAGGTATTCCGCAGCTCTCCATGTTTTTTTCTTGCTGAGATAGGCGGCTTTTACTAAATGTCTTGCAGAAGGTTTTTTGGACAGACTTCTCATGAAATTCGCCTATCTCAGCAAGGAAATATCATGGGGAGCTGTCAAACACCTTATCCAACTCATAATTGAATGGGCTATCTTTCGGCTTCCCCAATACACAGTGTGCAACAACGTGCAAATTAGGTGAAAAAATGAAAGTTAGATTTTTTTGAAATTTGAATAGCAGGTCATATGGTTCAGCAAACGCTCAATCTCTTTACCATTGGAACTTTTTTTCTAGGTGTCAAGCTTAGTGGGAAAATCACTAAGAAAGACTGGATCGAAAACAATGCTGGTTTTGAAAAACTGGATCATGTGTAAAACCAAAGTAAGCTTGTAGAAAAATAACCACATATTCGGAATCAGTAGCAAACTCTCTATCGATTGCTAAAAAGCCTTCCTAATTTTAGACTTTCTAAGCTGAAAAAAACACATATAACATTTTTCTAACGCTTATCCGAAGAAGGGAGTTCAGTAAAATGCGTGCCCCAGTCACATCCAAGCTCCAATTTTGATGAAAGTTTCACCGAATGTTCTTCTATATATTAGCTGTTAACAGTGTTAGCAGAAACACTCCTTTGTCAAATGATAGGTTTCGGAAAACCCAGAAATAATTATTTTTGGATTTCGGAAGTATCACCATTGGAAAGCGCTTATTCGAAAACCTATAAAAAGCGTGTTTATAGAGCGTTTATTCACTTTTTCAAGCGCTATCGACTGATATGGATTTTACCATGTTCCTAGATCTGTCTATTTATGAATTAAGAAAAGATGAAATTTAAAATTATAAGTTTAATTCAAAAAGTCAAAATGTTAGTCGGAGATCTGGATGTTTTTTCAAATGCGGTCTAAGCAATTCTACAGACAATGGCCGTTTCGAGATATTTTTAATGGTTCTGAAAATGTCGACACCACCATTCGGAAGAACTTAGCTACAAACTCTTAAACGTTGAGCTTTATCAAAATCGGCTCGCCGCATCATAACTTTTCTTTCAAAAACTTTCTTATGGTACACACCTGTTGCAGGAACTGTGGCTAATTGTGTGAAAGAATTGAAAAATGGCAGGCCGAAAACCATGTTTTCACTGTTTTTTGTTAGGGAAAGACTTATCAAATGTTTTGATTGAGATATTACTCACTTTACGAACAAATAAAACATTGAAAAAAACATGTTCATTTTGAGAAATGTGATTCCGCCACGATGATCTTTTCTCACTGATCACGCAGACTCAAACTTTTATTAAATTTTTCTTCTTTCATCAAATTGCTCGCAAGGTCTGCTACAAGTTTTCTAGCAAACGTTTTCTCGTAGGTCACTCAGATTCGCAGAATTTTACACATCTTTGGGCACAGCTAAATGAGCTTGTCCACATTTCGTGATTCCGCCACGATCTCTATTTCTTAATTAAAATCGAAGCTGTGCAACCAAACTAAACGATATTTTCAGGTATTGCAGAGCACATGGCTGCATTGTAAATGATAGAGTTTCCGATTTAAGCTGGTGAGGGAGCATAATAGTTCCTTTATAGACCCAATACTATAAATTTATGGCATTTTTATACTCAAATGAGATCGTATATTGCAAATTTTGCTGTTTTTATGGTACTTTTCAACATAAATAATATCAAATTCGTAATCTCCGTCAAAAACTGCGTCGAATGATATATAAATCGAGCTATTAGAGTTCAAAAACTTTTTGAAAATTTTTCCCTGGGAATTTTTTTCGAAAAAACTTTTTTTGTCAAAAACATGCGAATAACATGTCTATAGATTCAGTTTTTGATGGAGATCACGAATCTGCTATTATTTTTATGAGAAAATGTACAGGAAGAGTGAAAATTATAAAATACAAGCGCATTTTGGAGTGTTGCTCAAAACATTCAAACAATTTCATATCCAATAGTTGCTGTACGGCCTGTTAGTTACCCTCCTGAATCCCGATTTTCATGAGGATTAATTTGGTACGTAACATTCTCTGATATCATCTATACTTTAAGTTCCAGAGGGGGACGTAATAGCTATGCGACACCCTGTATATTCAACTGTTTCTTTGCGGGAATCAGTAAGAGTATAAACGTTAGCTATGCTTATTTCAAAAAACAACAACTAATGTTTTTTAACTTACAACTCCACTCTGATGCAGTGTTGAATTCATAATTTTGTCGATTTCATGTATCGTTCTGTTGACTATTTACGAATATTTGATTGTATCGTTTGTTAATATATATATATAATCAATTATTTAAAAAATTTTGTTTGTTGTGGAAATTAACGTGAAACAGAAAAAAGGCACTTAGATAGCAGGAAGCTAGTAAATAAGTAGGTCTCTCTTCTTGTAAATGCTCTATATTTGATGATAAATACGGAAATGTTTCATTCTCTTCTCTTTTCTTTATCTCTCTCTCTAACGTGTTACACAAGTTGTAAAATATTAAGCAAACTGTGGGTTTTTTCCTATTTTATATATTGTCTACCGAAGAAGGACCTAGTATTTTCCAAAACATTTAGACGAAACAAAAATAAGTACGCAGAATAAGTATAGTAATAAATACGCAAAAAATTTGCATGTAGAACAAAACTTTGTATCAAAACTCAGTATATGATACATATAATTCTGTTGTGATTCTTTTATTATTCTTTCTTTTCTGTTCTTATCTATACTGAAACATTGGTACACCTAACAAGGATCATATTTCCTCATTTAGATCGCAGTGACCGTAAATTGAATCTTTTAAATACATTTAATAAACTTCGTAAAAACACGTTAGAACAAAACTCGCTTAAAGCACTAATAAACTAAAGTCTAACACGTAGAAATTTGCAACAAAACAGTTTGAAAACTCTTTTTCATTGTTTATCTCAAAGTAGGATAAACTAGTATACCAATGTGTTAATAATTTAAGCTTGAGCTAAACTCTTTATACAAGGTAAATAAAAACACTTTTACACTTTACGAAGTACAACAAAAATATGATGAAATTATTTTCAATTATGATGTGATTATGCACCATTAAATAATGATCTTTTTTAAAAGAAGATTAGTTTCGGACAAGAATTGCTGGTTCAGGGACCAAGAAAGCGTCAAACACTATTTAATAAAGTGCCCACTTTACTCATCGAAAAGAGTTGCAATTTTTTAATCTAGCATTCATTAGTGCACATAATGCTCGACTATCTTTTAACACTCTTTTTCAACTAAGAAATTTGATTGTGATACATATATATAATTATATGCTTCTATTATTCGAACTTTATTAAGGTGTCGATTGTAATTAATTATGTGCATAAAAATATTGTATAAATTTAAAAATAAACATACCAACCTCAATCTCTCCGACACTATTCTTATCTCTGACTTGTACTTCTGTGTCGCAAATATGATATATAATCATATAAAAAGACCTGATCTTATAAAAACAGAGAGAAAAGAAAGTCATGGTACCCATCATCACTAATAATGGACAGTCTCAAAATGATGCGTCATTTCCAAGGCCTATTTCCGTATGCGGAAGACAGTACTTTACAAAATCAGAAACCAATGTGTTTTATTAAAAACATCAAGAAAGATGACACTACTAGTTAAGAAGATTTGGAAAATAATTAAAATATTCTTTTGAGTGAATGATATTGTCATTATGATCTGAAGGAACAACTTTAAGTATATTCGAGCAAATCATTCGTAAATCTTCATCACTAAAAGTATTTGTGATGTCCATGAGATTTTTTATAGATATGTATAATATTTGAATCATTGGCACCATGAATAACATACGCTTTCCAAAATCTCTGCCCATATTTTCATCATTTAAAATTAATATGCTGGTCGTATTCAGTGTCAGCTGTCGATCGTGTATTAACTGGTTATCTAACAAACAACCCTCCTCCATATGAAGCGTTTCTAAATTAAGAAAGTTCTCTTTAATTAGTTTAAAAAATTCAACTGAATATTGTTGATGATTAGTATCATGTAATAACAGAGTTCGAACATTAATCCAATCGTAACATGTCGTTTGCGTTAAATAATTTTGTTTATAATTTAACAATATGTTAGGAATAAATCTAAGACTTTCATATTGAAATGGTAAGCTGAATACTTGACAAAAATAATTTAGACCATTTTGAACCGGATTTACAAAACAGCCAATTTTCCATCTTGTTCGGAGCCAATACACAGACTGAAACGTTTCTATTACATTCTCAGTTGTCGGATTTGCAATTATAAAAGCAGGCGATGTAACAGATATAAAATAAAATCGAAAATCAATCAAGTTTTCGAGTTTTGGCAGAAAGCTATGACTCTCTATAAAATGAAAAAATCATTGTAATGGATAACTTGCCAGATATGACGATTCACATTAAACGTATAGGGGGTTGAGTCTTTTTTTGCCTGCATTAACTATGATGTTGTCAGAAGTCCGATTTGGTCAATTTTTTCGTTTTCTACAGTAGGAAGCCCATCAAGAAAACAAAATCCAACTCTAAAAAGCCTCTTATATAAATGTATCTATATAAACTTGGTCAAATAGATGCTTGAAGAGAAAATAAACCTGAAAGCGATATAATTTTTTCTTTTATTGAAAAGCTACAGTATAGATATATTATCAGCACCATTATAATCATAATTTCTATGCACCGACCTCGATAAGCCGATTGATAAGTCATGAAAGATTACAGACTTTGTAGTTATAAAGAATCCGAAACGGTAAGCTCTAGTACGTGGATCGATGGGTTCTTAGAGCTTTGAAGAATTAGGCGAGTCAACCCCGAAATGACTAAAATAATAATCCAATCAAATCATGTTTGACTTCAAATGACTTCGAACATTTCTCTAAGATCCAGAACTATGATAGTCAGGGACTTGTAATTTTGTGTGCATACCTCTTGCCGAATACTGATCACCCATCAAGTTTGGGCTTCTTTTACTGCATGATTCGTGAGATATAAGCGATTTAAGACTTTTTCGTAAAATATCAGTAGCTCCTGACCTAAGAACTAAAATGTAGCCACGACTCTAGTCTATCTGCAATATAATCTGTGAGTTGGCTGTTAGCAGTAAGTGAAACACAGCTATTTAACGGGCCTCTGAAATGAAGTTCTGAGATATGAGATCCTTTCCAAGGAAAATGCTTAAGTCATTCTAGGAACATCAACTCGACTTCATCAAACTTACAGCAAATACTCTTCGACGACTGTGGACTATTCAGTCAAAGTATGAAGGTTAACTATTGTGTGGTTCTGCAGACTCATTGAGAACGAGCACTAACGATTGAAACATAGGTAGAAGAGCGAGGATGAGGAACTAGGGATCGCCCTTTCTACGATAGAATAGATCTATATAATAGAAACCTATGTTTTCGACAAACGTAAGTGAGACTGTTGTCAGAAAAAGGTTACAAACTCACCTCTGACTTTCGGCATTTCACTTATTTTGTGCCCTTTTCACTTCTCTTCTATTTTCAAGCAAAAATAAGAACACATTCAAGATCAGCAAACAAAACTCAGTCGACTGGCATACTTAACAATTGCTTTTTCGAACAAAAAAATTTCATTGAAAATCTTTTCCTTAGGATGGTTAACGGTTAGTGTGTAATCTTTCTGACAAAAGTCTCACTTACGTTTGTCGAAACCATAGATTTCTATGATTACTTTTTCATAATTATGATGCGCATTGAATGCAGATTCTATCGTAGAAAGGGCGATCCCTAGTTCCT